TTAGGGGATGCTAGTTATGTCCTTGGCATAAGAATCTACCGAGATAGATCAAGAAAGTTAATAGGTCTGAATCAAAGTACATATATAGATAAAATCCTTGATCGATTTAGCATGTCTAACTCAAAGAAAGGATCTTTACCTATGACACCTGGCACGGTTCTTTCCAAGAGCCAGAGTCCTTCTACTCCCGAGCAGAAGGAACTCATGATGAAGGTTCCATACGCCTCTATGATTGGATCCATCATGTATGCCATGATATGTACTAGACCTGATGTCTCATTCGCTTTAAGCGTGACAAGCAGATACCAGGGAAGTCCAGGAGAAGCACACTGGACAGCGGTCAAGAACATCCTCAAGTATCTTCGCAATACTAAGGATGCATTCCTGGTATACGGTGGTGAGGAAGAGCTAAAAGTGGTCGGTTACATTGATGCTAGCTTCCAAACCGACAGAGATGATTCAAAATCACAAGCAGGATATTTGTTTTACCTAAATGGCGGAGCTTTTAGCTGGAAGAGCTTCAAGGAGGATACAACCGCTGATTCGACTACAGCTGAGTACATAGCTGCCGCCGAGGCAGCTAAAGAAGTTGTTTGGATCAAGAAGTTCATTACTGAACTTAGAGTGGTTCCTAGTATTAATAACCCTATCTCATTGTTTTGCGACAACACTGGGGCCATTGCACAGGCAAAGGAACCGCGTTCTCACCAGAAAACCAAACATATTGTACGATGCTATCACATCATACGAGAAATTGTAGACAGAGGAGATGTGATGATTTGCAAAGTAGATACAGACGAAAACATAGCCGATCCTTTGACCAAGCCTTTAGGAAAGCTAAAGCATAAGGGTCACACTAGGTCCATGGGTATTCGACCGATGCCAGATTGGCCATAGTGCAAGTGGGAGATTGTCGGAGTTGTGCCCTGATGGCCAACTGTTTATCATTATTCTATTATGTATAGGCAGATATAATATGTTTACACATCTCATGCTAATGTAAACAAATATTATATTCCTAGATTTATATTTAAAGATGTTTATCAGATAGTGTTATTCTGCTGATGAGACTAACATCTTGAAATAAATATTTATCTAAATGTCCATAGTCGAGTATTAACGAGAGTGGGATATCGTTAATACATGTGAGACTAGTGTGTGTTGGATGTTTGACTTAGTCTCATAGTCAATGACGGTGTGTTCGCATCCGCACATGGGCAGATATTATCTAGAGATAATAGAATGTCGGACTGACCCATTCTAAAGATGTTGCTTGAATTTTTAGTTCATGCTCTAAGCATCTTTAGCGCGACCACGGGTGTAACTATCCTTCAACTTGAAGTATTACGTTTTCTGCATATGTGAACCCGCATGCTTTGATGCATTGTCCTAAGCCATATGAAATAAGGATGGTATGCAGGCTTGGTTTTGGGTATCCTGCATCGCGTATTCAGAAACGTAGATTACGTACATAGGATTTGTCACTACTCTTTTTAAAGATATTAATGTCTTATGGGGCCCACTGATAAGTTATGACTAAGGAAATTGCATGGCCATGCTGAGATGCTTTTATGACGTCTGTTCCTATTAGTCGGACTTGATAAATCAGTGAATGACTTAATGGATACAAGTTGGATTTTATTAATCCCTTGCATTAAGTTTAGACATTGAGACAAAGGGATACAGTTACACGGAGTCTGAGTCGTGGAAAGGTTTTGACAGTGCAAATGTCTTAACTTATAATCTGGGGGGCAATAATGTGTTGCTAGATACCGCTTATTGCTTATAGTATTGGTGCAGAGCCAATACTGTGGCCAGTTTTATAAGTGCCTATACGGGTCACACACTTTGGACAATTTAAGGAGTAAGATTAAACAATGGGATAATAAGTGTATTTGTATACTTATTTAAAATGATATTGGTATTTTTATTTGATTTAAAATTAATTTTATATTAATTTTTGGTGTCAAATAAAATACACTTTGAACATTTAAGTGGAGAAGAATTTTGAAAATCCTTCTCACTTTCTCAAATCTTCAATTACGGCCATGTGATGTTTATGAGGACAAAAACACTTTTTAATTTGTATTTTAAAGATGTAGGAAATTTCCTAATTTGTCATTAAGTGTATAATTGTTTTTAAATCCTCTTTAACACTCCATATAATGA